GGCTGGAAGCTCCTTAGAACATAGGCTCTGCCCTTACGCCTTTCTTTTGAAGCCAAGTGCAGGAAGTGGGTGGGGGGAACAGGAGTGTGGCTGGTTCCTCTGATGGCCCCAGGCCAATCTACACCTGACATGGAGGGGGATGCTTAGATGATTTCTGGGTGTAGACAAAACACTCTTCACTTGGATGCATGTGAGATACAGGTGACTAGCTTTTTAGGGAGCTGCTTCTGAGACGCCTCTCACCTGGTGTCAATAGGAACCTAGGCCTTCCCCTTCCCATAGTCCTGAGTTCCTGGGTACCAACTGTGACTCTTAGTACAATGTCCAATAGTCCCCAGGAAGGGAGAGGTCTGCTTGGCAGTACAGCTGCTTGTGGGCAGAGTTCTGGCCAAGTCTAGGCTTTTGCTTCTCCCCTTGAGGATGTTCCCAGGGATGGCCAATTCTCCTAGGAACAAAGCAGGATGGGGAAGCAGCCCACAGGGTCTGGCCTCTTGACCTGACTTCTGGACTGAAAAAAACCATAGCTCTGGGGTCACAAGGTCCCACTCCCTTCCATAGGGCTGTTGTGGTGCACAGGGCCAGGTGAGCAGGATGTGCCCCTTACCCACACTGGCCTTCCAAGGTCATCTGTCTCACTGCCCAGCCCCCACTCTTCTCTCTCTTCCTCAGCCCCCAGCTTCAAAGCCTGCCCAAAGCACCAGGTTCCAAGGCCAACCCCTCCTCACTCCCCAAGGCAGCCAGGAGACTGACTTGTGGGTGCCAGCCTCCCGGCCGCTGCTGGGTGCCTTAGAGGGTCAACTTGTTCAATCCTCACTCCAATCCTGTGAGGCAGTCACACTTACTCCTCTATCACCCAGAGGAAGAAACTGGGGAGGTAAAGGCATATGTTCCAAACCATCCAGCAATAGACAGTGGAATTGAGACTTTAATTCAGCCACCCCACAGGCCTTAATCACTCTGCTCCTCAGCCTACCCTCCCACTGAGGCTGGAGGAGGCAGGGCTGGCCTGGGGCCTGGCAATAATTTGCCCAAAGGCACTAGCCTAAGACCAGAAAACGCAGTCAGAAGAGGAGTTAGGCTGGTTGGAGTTAGAAAGGGCCAGGAAGGCTGGCTCATCCTGGCACTCGCCCTGGCATTTTGGAAATGACCTTGCCCCTTTCACATCAAGAGGAACTTGGGGGTCTCCATGAAGACCTGAAGATCTGTGTGGGCCCAGAGACAAAGCCCAACAGACATCTCTGGATCCCTCCCCCAACACCTACAAGGCAGGCTTCTCAAGCTTCTCTACAGAGGGTCTTAACCGTGTCCAGAGCAAAGACATCTCCTTCAATAGCATCCCAGGCCTGCCCACTACACTGAGGATGTGGCATCCTCACTGAGGCCCATAGGCTTCAAAACAATCATTCCTCAAAGGTCTTAACCATTCGGCCTTCAGCTTCTCAAGAGGTGAGTCCAGTCCACCAACCCTCCCAGGCCCCCAGTCAGCTGGAATATTCCAGACAGGGGCGCTTTGTCTTATCAGACAATGAAAGCCCTGTCACCCCTGGGGGCTGCTCTGGAAGCTCCCCTGCCCCTTCTTGGCCTGGGTCTTCCTGAGTCATCCCCACAACCCTGTGACAGAAGCTCCAGGATTGTGTTTGACACCCTAAGACAGCGATTTTCAACACTGTTCATCTCACGGCACACATAAACTAATTACTAAAACTCCGCAGCACACCAAAACATGTATTTTGTCAATCTGACCAAAAAAAAAGATATAATATTGACTCATTCACAGTGGATGGCTACTGTCGTTTCTTTATTTCACAATCTAAGGGAAAAGAGGTCCGTGCCCCTGACTAAATTTTCAGGTATTTCATGTTTTATAAATCCTTGAGGCACACCAGTTGAAAACTGCTGACCTAAGACACTGAGGGTCTGAGAGGGTGGGGCTTGCTGGGCACCACCCAGCCGGACAGTGCCAGGGCCGATAGCAAACCACATCCGTGGGCT